ACACACACACACACACACACACACACACACACACACACACACACACAGAATGATGCTCCAACTGATCGATTTCCCAACACATTCTCACACAGATCCTCTGACACATACACAAACTCAGACACTTCATCTCTGTCACGTACACACACACACACACACACACACACACACACACACACACAAACGCGGTGCAGGGCCGTGGAGCAGTGGGGCGGCTGTCAGGTGATGCGCGTCAGTCCTTGGATCCTCCGGCTCCCTGGTGAAGGGAAGGAAACTAGGACAGGCCTCCGCAGAGCGCACACACACACACACACACACACACACACACACATAAGCACTCGTCCCTCAGGCCATGGCATTGCTGGATATCGCACGCAGCTACAGACAGACACACACAAACAGCCTCTCCAAGTATGTACGTGTGGACGGACGTATGCCAGCATGTTTCAACGTATACGCACACCTGACCTGCCTCCACTTGGCATATAAACTCACGAAATGTAAGACGTACACTTAAACACACGTAAACACAAACACACACACACACACACACACACACACACACACACACACACTCACAGGGCCCGAGAAGCGCACTCATTAATATCATCTGACAACAACTGGCTCCCTGGCAACCCCTCTGCCATCGCTCACCCAACAGCATCCCCCGCTTGTGAGCACGCACGCGGGTGTGCGCGGGGATTTAACCTGGGCGGAGCCAGGGGAGGGGAACGAGGGGTGCTATTAGGCTGAAATTAATCAACGCCGGCTGATTTGCTGTCTGGGGAATGAGTGGCGGGCAGCAGGCAGGCAACACATCCTGAATACTAATAGACTAATGGAGAGGGGAGACAGAAAGTGGACCTTTCCCTCTCTCTGCTGTGTGTCAGGTAGAAGGAAATAAGGTGAGGGACTGAGGAGTGTTACAATATATATATACACAGGATGAGCACTTTCAACCTACAGACATCCAGATTGATGAGAGATGCAAGTAATTACGCAAAACCAGCAAAAGCAGAATAGGGGCCAAATTGTGAGCATCAGTGATGAACATCACACTGTGCTTCAATGTGCTGATGAGAGGAGCTACTTTATTTCTTGTGAACGTGTGCCCGTGTGGTGACCACGTGTACTGCAACCATGAAGTGCAGAAGTCGAGGAAACACAGTAGAACACAGTGTGAAACGCAATAACGCCAGGAGCAACGTAGGAACGTGTGTAAAAAAAACCAAACTTATGCGAGTACGCCGTGGTGCATTCTGTGAAACTTCCCCAACACCCCTGATCCTATAGGCAGCGTTTCAATACCCGTACTACAACACTATTAAGTATGCCAGAAAAAGCTTAAGGATGTCCCAATATGTCAAATGCAGAACGCTAAAACTACCGAGATGTTCTAGCATACGGTCGCGTTTTGCAAGATGTAAGCCCGCCTGCTCTTCTGGCTGTTCTGACCCACAATCCTCTGAGCAGCTATATGAGCAAGAGGGTCAAAGTTCAAAGTGCCATGTTATGACGAAGTCGTATGTCCCAATCGAATCCAGACTGCATGCAACAGTATACGTACTTTGAAAAGGCAGCGGCAGTGTGTACTGAAGGACAAAAGAAAAGCATGCGATTTGGAGTTAGTCTTGTCGTTTGTGATGTTTCTAATCTTCATTAGACCAATCAAGTGAACACAGTGAGGGACAAAAACAGCAAAAGAAACTAAATGAGCCGGCCGTACTTGCACACCAAAAAAACAACTACAAGAAAAGTGTCACGCTCTGAGCAGCGAGCCTGACAGCGGCTCAAAGACCGAGTCCTGCGCCTTTCTGTGCCTTTTCTTCTCCCCATCACACACAGTTTGTCCCCGAGATAAACTGTGTTTACGAACACTTATTCATACTCGTGTAAAGATCGCTAACACATTAGGCGCTAACTCACAGAGGGTGATATTGTATGTACGAACAGAATGCAGGCGGCTCTGCTTCTCTTTTTGTTCTCCGTCTCTCTCTCTCTCTCTCTCTCCGCGTCCCCCTGGTTTTCTCTCGGTAGGCTGTCTTCAGATGGGACTCGGGAGAGAAAGGGGGAGAGAGTGAGAGAGAGAGAAATGTGGGTGGTAAAAGTGGGTCACATGCTCAGAGAGAACGAGAATGAAAGAGGGGGAGACGGCGAGCGACGAGGGAGAGAGACACAGAGAGAATGACAGTAACAGGGGAAGATGGGGTGAGAGAGAGAGAGAGAGGTAGAGAGCCACAAAGAGGGTGAGGGAGAGAGAGGGGGAGGTTGAATTCCCCTGTTCAGAAGGAGTGGATCAGTCACAGGCTTCCTTTCATCTGATCTCAGCGGACCACAGAACCTGGGACACACACACACACACAATAATAGTACACAACACAGGGACGCAAGCAAACACACACTCATCGGCACACACACATACACACAAAACCAATATCAACGCAGAGTACACATACCACAGATGACGAAACGACACACACAGTATGTATGTCTTTATGTGGATGTGTGCACACACACACAAGCCTGCCAGACAAACTTAATAAATCCATTACCCTGTAGATTCAACAGCAACAAAGAGAGGAATGTAGCAAATGAGATTCAATAACGGCATACCGACACAATGGCACACACACACGTAGACAAACAGATGCATACATCTAGACACAATAACACACACACACACACACACACACACACGTTTTAACCCACATGAGAGCCAGTGTAAGTGGGCCCTGCTCCAGCCTCCCTCCCCTGTGGAGACAAAAATAAAAAAAGGATGGACAGATCCCATCATGTGTGTGTTCCTTTGTGTGTGAGTGTGTGTGCTGTATGCCATCACCTC